CTTCATCCCTCTCTCCCCAGCCCTAACCTCCCCTGATCCATCCCTCTTCCCTAGCCCCAGGTCCACCGGCCCCCCCGGGCTACCTGTGCTCGCTCAGCACCACCACCCGCAGAGACTGCTATAGTGAGTAGGAGCGTGCTGCCCCCCACCCACCCCATCCTTCCCCTCCTGCCTCGGGGCTGCTTCCATGCAACCCCTCCCCATGGGGTGGGCCCAGCTTCTCCCTCCCCGCAGAGTACGTCAACGTCCAGGAGCCAGCCATGGACATGCGATCCATCACCGACCGGGCTGCCCAAACCCTGCTGTGGACAGAGCTTTTCCGAGGTGAGGTCTGAAACCATCTGGATGCCTCCGCAAGCAGAACAAAGTCCTCTCAGCCTCCCCATGCATGGCCCCTATCCAGTCTGTGGGGTGCCAGCACCCCCTGAGCATGCCATAGCCCCCACTCTTTGTCTTCCAGGCCTGGCCATGACACTGAGTTACCTTTTTCGGGAGCCAGCCACCATCAACTACCCCTTTGAGAAGGGTCCTCTGAGCCCACGCTTCCGTGGGGAGCACGCCTTGCGCCGCTACCCCTCTGGGGAGGAGAGGTGCATCGCCTGCAAGCTCTGTGAGGCTGTCTGCCCGGGCATGCCATAGCCCCCACTCTTTGTCTTCCAGGCCTGGCCATGACACTGAGTTACCTTTTTCGGGAGCCAGCCACCATCAACTACCCCTTTGAGAAGGGTCCTCTGAGCCCACGCTTCCGTGGGGAGCACGCCTTGCGCCGCTACCCCTCTGGGGAGGAGAGGTGCATCGCCTGCAAGCTCTGTGAGGCTGTCTGCCCGGCACAGGTCAGCCTTCATCCACCATCATCATCCTGCCACTGGCTCTGGGGGATGCTGCATTCCCCAGAGCGCGAGCTGACGGTGTCGTCCTCCCCCAAATCCCACGGCAGGCGATCACCATCGAAGCTGAACCCCGAGCTGACGGTAGCCGGCGCACCACCCGCTATGACATTGACATGACCAAGTGCATTTACTGCGGGTTCTGCCAGGAGGCCTGTCCCGTGGATGCCATCGTGGAGGTTAGCTGGGGCAGGGGGGCATAGCTGTGGGGGCAGCAAGACCTCCTACCCAGGTTGGTGGGGGTCTGATGAACCCTGAGAGCAAATGTCTCCCATCCTGGCAGGGTCCCAACTTCGAGTTCTCGACAGAAACGCACGAGGAGCTGCTCTACAACAAGGAGAAGCTGCTCAATAATGGTGATAAGTGGGAGGCTGAGATCGCAGCCAACATCCAGGCTGATTACCTGTACCGGTGACAGCCTGATGCCACCACGTCTCCTCCCCCTCCCCTAATAAAGGGTCTGCACTGGGGGTACCGGCCCCTTCCTAATCCGGAGCTCTGACTTTTTCAGTGTCTCTTCTTTTCTGGTGCTGAGGCAGGGGAGGGGTTGAATCCCCCGGGTAGGAGCAGGGGAGTGAGAGTGTGTGGTTGCATCCTGGGGTGGGGGATAGGGGTCCTGGGGCCACTATTGCCTGCATCGGGATGGGGGCACAGGAACGTGGGGAGTCCTGGTCACAGGGAAAGGTGTGGGATGAGGAGGGGATGTGGAGGCCGGGGGGCAAGGCTGGGTGCTGGGGCAGGGCTAGGGGGCTCAGGGGCCACCCTCTTCTTATCCAGG